GGATCCTCCATGAAGGTCACGGGGGGAGCAGTCCATAGTGGCTCCTGAAAGGCAGGAAGTGGGTGTGGAATTGCCATTGGAGTGTTCATATTCCAGGGTTCCCATCCTGGTACCCTAGGATCCTCCATGAAGGTTATGGGGGGAGCAGTCCACAGTGGCTCCTCAAAGGCAGGAGGTGGATTTGGAATTGCCATTGGAGTGTTCGTATTCCAGGGTTCCCATCCGGGTACCCGAGGATCCTCCATGAAGATCACGGGAGGAGCAGTCTGCAGTGGCTCCTCAAAGGGAGTGGGCATGCCACCATACTGGGACTGGTGCTCCGGAGGTAGAACAACAGCATTTTCCCAGGAAGGATTTGAGACAGCATTGTCATCCTGTCTATATCCCAAGATCCTGTGCAAGGCCTCTCCATAAGGACATGGCAAGGGCTCACTCCTTGGTTTCTTATTGGCCTCACAAATAGTCCAGTATAAATCCTGGAGACTTACCAGCAAGTGTAAACACTTTTTCCAATTCTTCCTTATGCCTCTGTGACCGAGACGCTGGGCAATTGCTTTTGACAATAAGTAATTTTTCTTCACTGGTAAGTACATTTTATGTTCAAGAATTTCCCATTCTTCAAGGAAGTTTTGGATTTCCTGGTCATTCCATGGTTGAATGAACTGGCTTGAAAACTTTCCTGGTTCTTGGTTTTCTTTTTTCTTCTTTGGTTCTTGGGTGTTTTGGGGAATTTCGTTCGAAGTTTCTGATACTTTCTCCATTTTTATTCCTGAATTTCCTCCTGGGAGTCTTCACTAAAGCCACAGGATCTGTACCTAGGAGAATCAGGAGAGTCAGGAGATGTCCCTGTGTAGAGATACGTTTGGTCCTCTCTGCTTCCCACAGTTTCTCCAAAGTCTCTCTTAGTTATATTCTTGATCAGCCTATTTCTGTAGTTTTCTTATCCAGAGCAGATTAAAGATCATTAAATTAAGAGGAAAGTGGCACTATGAAGACATATAATGTATAACTCTTCAATTTTCACTTATTCAAGGACATTGCCTTAGCAGTTCTCCCCTCATTTAGACTATGATTTACTTCTTTCCACTATGTTATTCTCATAACATGCAAACATACTATTTTTTTTCCTCCTACCCTTTTTATTTTTTGTGTGGGATTAAGCCCAGGGGGCACTGAGCTATATCCTCAGCCCTTTTTAAATGTTTTAAATTTTGGGACAAGGCGTCACTAAGTTGTCCAGGCTACCCTTGAGTTTGTGATCCTCCTGAGTAGCTGGGATTATGTGTATAATTCTAATCTCTATAACTGCTCAGTTCAGACTTTGTAGTCACCCTTGATTCCTGTCTCTTTCACATTGCACTTCCAGCCCATTAATGGTTGTAGTTTGCATCTGCATCCAGATAAATGCAGAGTCCAGTCACTTCTCTGCTGTGACTCCACTCCAAGCCCCAATCATTTCTTGTCTGATTTACTACATTTGCCATCTAATAGGTCTGTATGTTTCTGTCCTGGAAACCTTACCCACTTTTGACATAGTGTTCTAAGTAATCATTTAAAAATACGAGTGATGCCAACATGTTGGCAAACACCTGTAATCCCAGCAATTGGAAGGCTGAGGCAGGAGGATCATCCTAAGTTTAAGACCAGCCTGGGCTCCATAGTGAGTTCAAGGCCAGCCTAGACTATATAACAAGACTCTGTCTCAAAGCAAATGGCAACAAAACATGTGAAGCCCAGTGTGATGGTACATACCTGTAATCCCAGCACTCTGGAAGACCAAAGCAGGATTGCAAGTTCAAGCTCAGCCTGCACAATTTAGCAAGACCCTGTGTCACAAAACAAAAAATAAAAAGAGCTGAGGAAGTAGCACAAAGCAGAGCTCCTGGGTTTTAAAAAAAAAGTGAGATAGTTTTGTTCTTCTTTCTTCAAAATGCCACACTTGCTCCTACCTCTTATTTCTCAATGCTTTAGCTCTTGTTCTTTTAACCCAGAGTACTGCTGGGTGATTCCCTCATACCCAGTCTTTCCTAAAATCTCTCTTCTAAATAAAGCCTGTCTGCTTCTCCTACTTAAAGGGAAGCTTATAAACACTCATGTAGCCTATGTTTCCTTCTTACATGCTTTACTTTTCTTTAAGTAATTAAATATTTGGTTAATAAAGGCAAATTCTCTAACGATTTATTAAAAGTATTAAAAAGTAAATGAAATTAATGGGTCTGGGGTATAACTCAGTGGTAGAGCACTTGCCTAGCATATGCAAGAAAACCTGGGTTCAGTCCTTAAGAGCTAAAAAAAATTGATTAATACTTGTTATACTGTATTTAATACTACCTGATTATAATGGTAAGAGTTGTAACAATTTTGAAAATTTTTTATTTAAAATTATAGAACACAATATTTATATTTAAAAAGACTGTAGAATTCATTGGTTTATGATATTCAACTAAGTGGAATTCTTTCTGTGTTATATGTGTGGTAAGTAAAAAGCATCTAACTTTTGAGAATAATGTTCTTTCCTGTTTTTTACTTTTATTCTTTCACAGTTTTCCTCCTCCATCACTAGGGCCTGAACCCAGGACCTTTGCACTGAATTATATCCCTACTCTAAAAAATTTTTAGTTTAAGATAAGGTCTCACTAAATGGCTTAGTTGTCCACATTGAGCTTGTGATGTTCTTGTCTCAGCCTCCCACGGTGCTGGAATCACAAATATGCCACACCCCACCTCTTTTATAATTCTTAATCATTTATAGTTCACCTCCTTAGTATATTGGTGTGTAGCAAGAATTAATTTGTAGGAAGCATGAACATTTTTCTCAGTGTTTAAATCTACCCCAAAATATATTTTTTTCTTCATATCTAACTAGGAATAATAGTTGCTGTTTTAAAATCTTTATGCTTTGAAATTGTCCTTAATTTTGCCTGACATGCTGGTGTCTACCCAGCATTTGGGAGGCTGAGGCAGGAGGATTGCCATGAGTTTGAGGCTGGCCTGGGCTACATGAATTCAAGGACAGTCTGAACTACATAGTGAGGCTTGTCTCAGACAAAAAACAGTCCTTAATTTTAAAAAAGTGACTCAGTGTGTTTTGGTTTGGGGGAGTAACACTGGGCTAGAAGGAGAAGTATTTAGAAATCAGAGCCTAATGACAGTACTGGTATTACTTAGTTCACAGAGTTTTGTGCATAAAACAGAAAAGCTAGCATGGCAGCTTCTGGAAAAGCTTTAAAAATGCTGTACATAGCTGGATGTGGTATGCATGCCCCTGATCCCAGTACTCTGAGAGGCCTGAGGCAGAAGAGAGCCCAGCCTGGGCAGTTTAGCAACTCAGAAAGAACTTGTCTCTAAATACAAAATATTAAAAAGGACTGGGGGTATAGCTCAGTGCAAAGGCCCAGAGTTTTACCCCTAATACCCACCCACCCTCACCTCCACCCACTTACTATATACTAACGATATAGTATTATCCTTAAATTGCTGTATACCATATAACTAAATTTTGGCTATTTAGAATTTAGTTTAATTGAATCTTTATGAAAACGATTATTCAGGAGTAAATGAAAGCAGTAATGTAGAGCTATTATTATAACTGAGTACTGACATTTCTTCATAAGAAATACTTCAAAAACTCTTATATCTTGAAGTACAGCTTGCATGCAGTAGGTTTTATATTAAAACAGTAGAAGCAAAATTATCAATGTTTTGCTTCTAGCAAAATGTTTAAATACTGGTTTGGAGGATTGGTTTCAAATAATTGCTGTATCTTAAATTTATAATTTTTATTGTATGAAAAAATAGATTTTCATAACCAAAGAATGAGAATAACAATAGGTATTACTTTGTGTATTGTTTTCTTCAAAGTAGTTACTCAGTATAAGACATAACCAGAGATTCTTACAAATGAAACAAGTGATTTTTTTTTTTTTTTTTTTAAGTTTTTTTTTTTTTTTTTTTAAGCCAGGCCTGAGTAATTGGGCATTCCTGTAATCCCAGTGCCCTAGGAGGCTGAGGCAGCAGGATTGTATGTTCAAGCCCAGTCCAGGGAACTTAGTGATCTTGCAAGACCTTGTCTAGAAACTAAAAAATAAAGAGAGTTGGAGATCCAGCTCAGTGTGAAGGGCCTGGGTCCCTAGTTCTCCCTACCCGCTAAAAAAGAAATGATTTTTTTTTTTTAATTAAAAAATGACAGGGTTTTGAATACGGAGAATTATCCTTTATCACTCTAGAAAGATCAGCGCCATAACTAAATCTGTCACATAAACTACTTTAAGACTGTTACTCTCTCCTTTTAGGAAGATACATTTCAGCAGTACGTGAGACCAGAGATTAACACACAACTTTCTGATTTCTGCATCAGTCTTACTGGAATTACTCAGGTAATAGCTCTGTTTTCTTTTTGCTAGAGTTTGAAAATAGAATTTAAATTAAGAATTTATATTATAGATAGTTTAAAACGTTATCGCCATGATCAATTTAGTGTGGCATTTTTGTTGTTTGGTAAAGATCTTTCATATTGTAGTAATTAAAAAAAAATAAAACCTGTTACAGTGGTGTGTACCTATAATCCCAGCTATATAGGAGGCTTAGGTGAGAGGATTGATACAGCCTAGGATTTTGAGTATTCTCAAAAAGAAAAACAAAAAGCACATTTTACATCTGGTAACATTTTATTCAGCCTTTCCCTGTAAGGAGTTGTAATGGTACATTTAAAGATTTCATTAGTTAAATGAAACATTAATCTGCAGTACTTCTTATCTCTTTAGATTTCTTACTCCCTCCCTCTCTTCCTCCTTTCTACTCTCCCTCCCTGTCACTTGCTCTTTTCTTCCCTCCCTCACTTCCCACCTTCCTCCTTAGTCTAGATTATCCAGACACTTAGAATCCTGTTCCCGCTTTAGCTTCCTGAATGTTAGGATTGCAAGCATGTGTTGCTATATCTGGCTACATCCTGACTATATATAATTTTATCTTCATTATTTTTGGGCTCTGTTTTTTCGTTGTATTCTAACATGTAGGTCTTTTGTTTATTTATTTCCTTCATTTACTCATTTAGTCCACACATATTTAAGTGCCTGCTATAATATACCAAGGAACTAGGGATTCAGAGGCAGTCAAGTCAGCCTTTATCCTCAGCTTCCTTACAGTCTGTAAGTGAGGAGAGCAGACAAAATAAGCCAGTGGTCACAGTATCAGAAAAGTGACAAGTCTGTTTCTTCATGGTATTCTGGGGTTCTGTCAAAAAGGTTGTCTTAGCCACTTTTCTCAGTGCTGGCCAAAATATTCTAAGCCCCCAACTAAAAAGAAGAGAGGTTTATTCTGACTTACAGTTTGTAGAAGTTTCACTAGTGAGCTGGCTCCAAGGTAAAATGGTGTGCTGGAAGGACCTCAGTGGAGGAAAGCTGTTTACCTTACAGCATCCAGGAAGCAGTGTGAAGGCTGGAGCTGAAAAGGAAGATATATACCCTTCCAGGCCACACCCAATGACCCACCTCTTCTGACCAGACCCTACTTCCTACTAGCAAGTCAGCTATGAGCCCCTATAATCCAGGCACCTTCCAAAAGCTCTGCCTATGAGTGCATGTGACTGTTGGGGAACATCTAGATATAAACCATAATATTTTGCACCTAGCCTCCAAAAGACTGATGTGTGCCTACTTATGCAAAATGTATTTAGTCCAAGTCTAAGAGTTGCCAAAATCCTAATAATCCCAGCATTGCTGAAAAGTCCAAGTTCAAAGTCTCCTCTGAGACTTAAGGCAAACTCTTATCTTTGAGCCTTTGTATTAAAAAAAAAAAAAAAAAAGTTAAAACTATCTATATATGATGGCAGGGTGAACATTGTCATTCTGAAAAGGAGGAAGAGGGAGGTAAAAAGGAATGGAACCAAAGCAGAACTGCAGCCCAGCAGGGTAAACATTAAATCCCATAGCCCTGTCCCAACACCTGGGGCAAGATGTAAGATGTGAACTCTAAAGGGCTTGGGTGGCCTGCCCCTACAGCATTGCCAGTGGTTGTAGGCCTCATGGCTACTCTCTTAGGCTGGCTTCGTTCACTCCTTAAGGCTTCCCTCAGACGCTCTTTGTTTCTGGCTTCTCCACTTCTCTAGGGTCTCCACTGCCCTTTTGACTTAACTCTTAACAGCTTCATGCACTGCCTTCTCTGGGACACACTTCCTGGCTTTCTAAGCTTTCTTTTATTTTAAGTTTTCTTTTCAAGACAGGGTCTGTCTGTCTGTATAGTTCAGACTTGGCTTGAACTCTGTGTAGTCTAGGCTGGCCTTGAACTCACAGCCTCAACGAGTGTTGGTATTACAGATTTGTGCCACCATGCCCAACTTGAGGCTTTCTTTTAAAATCTTGATAGAGGCCTACCTAACACTACAACTGTTGCATTACTCATATCTGTAAAATCAGCACTATGTGGATGATGCCAAGTTCTCCTGCCAGTTTGAGCAGTAACAAGCTTTCTTTGTATCATGTCTTCAGAGGTCTGTAAGTGCCCGGATGGTTGAATACTGTGTAATGAATCTGGAGGACAAACTCGCTGGGCTGTGGCACAGTGTGGCATGGTGCTGTAGTGCTTTGTTCTTGAAGTAAAGTTTTTTACTTTTGTCGTTTTGAGCCTTTGAAGAGTAGGGCTTTGTTGGTTCCTCACATACTTTCAAAGCATTTTTCCTATTATCCTGATCCACAGTACTTGGCTTCTTTTTAATGTTAATCCTTTCAGCAACCAAGCTCTTCTCTGTTCCATTTTTGCAGGCACTTTCTTTCTGGCAAGACTGAAAATTTTTAAAATGGGCCTTTTTGCTGTGAGTTTCAGGGTAAACCTCACTAAGCCCCCTAAAATATCCACCTTACCTCTCAATGTTGGGCTGCCTTAGAGTTTCCTGATCCAGACTAGTCTGCTGTCCTTAATCTTAGTTTCCTACATGGCAAAAATGTGGACAAATTTTCTACCAGAGTGTAATATACATGGTCTGGAGTCCCATTGTCAGTGAAGTCCTCCTGAGCCTGGTCTTTACTATCTGCATTTTTTTCAGTACTCTGATCTTCTGAGCTGTGACCAGTTTCACACGTCAAGCTCAGTTTATAGCATTCTAGGGCTCCTTCTCTACCTGGCATCTCCAAACCTTTCCAAACTTCTCCCATGAACCAGTTCCAGATGTTTCTGAGCCATATAGTGAGGTAGAGTCAGAGCAGTAACCCCACTTGTGGCACCAAAATCTGTCTTAGTCACTTCTCTTGTTGCTGAGATAAAATTCCTAGCACCTGAAACTGAAAAGGAGAAATTATTTATAATTTGTAGAAGTTTCAGTCCCTACTTTCTGGCTCCAAGACAGAAGGGCATGGTGGGTGGGTTTGGGCAGAGGATCACTTTACCTCATGGCACCCAGGAAGCAGAGAGTGGGTAAAGAGTGGAGTCGAGAAAGAAATACCCTTCCACACCACATCCTCAGTGACCACATCTCCTTGCTAGACCTTACCGCCTAATAGTCAGTTATAATTCCCCATAATCCAATTTCTTTCCAAAAACCCTGCCTATGAGCACATGAGGTTTCTGAGACATCTAATATAAACCAGAACAATTTCAGTATGTGACAGAGCTATTGTGGGATAGACTTCATTGTATTAGTTAACTTGACCTGAGTTATGATAGGTAAATAGGCAAGAAAGAAATGATGGGCGTTTCAGGTATAGAATGGCAGAACTACTGTAGCTTAGGATGGCCCAGTTGTGTGTGAGTTAGTGAGAAAATGGTTGAGGTAGGCAGAGACAAGCCAGAACAGAGGGTCTTACGTATTCTTTTATTGTGAAAGCCTGGGAAAGTGGAAGACATTAAGAACGTGGGTGATTGATAGGTCAGATTTACTTTTTTAGGCAACCTACTCTGGCAGCATGGTGTGGAAAGGCACAAAACTTGAGGTGGGAAGACTACTTGCTTGAGCAGCTATGGTTTTCAGTTGATAAGAGATTTCCTTTTTCAGTATTGTAAAGAGTCAGTAAGCCACTAGCCACTATGTTGAGGCCTTCTAAAAAGTGAGACACTGAGGGCTAAGCCTGGTGGTTCACACCTGTAATCCCAGCACTTGGAAGGTTGGGGCAGGAGGATTGCTGCAAATTCAAGGCCAGTCTGGACTACATAGTAAGTTTAAGGCCAGCCTAAACTACATATTGATACCCTGTCTCAAAAAACAAAGAGAGCCACTGATGATGGTCTTAAGATTTTAAAATTTTTATTTTGAAGTAGGGTCCCAATAAGTGGTCAAGTTGCTGAAGCTGTTCTCAAATTTTCGATCCTCCTGCCTCAGCCTCCTAGGATTACAGGCATGCACCATCACACGTAACAATAAACAATTTTTAAGTGTCTTAAATGAAATTTTAGGTGGTAGATGGATTGAAGTCTGGCAGATTATTAAGAGTTTTCATGTTGTCCATTTCCCTCCAGTTTATGTCTGGGTGTCTTGTAGGACTACAAGGAGTTACCCTGATTTTCATATCTTTTGTTTTTGTTTACACTTAGGATCAGGTAGACAGAGCTGATGTTTTCCCTCAGGTACTGAAAAAAGTAATTGACTGGATGAAATTGAAGGAGTTAGGAACAAAATATAAATATTGCATATTAACGGATGGGTAAGTATTTAGGAAAATTATCTTTTTAAAATCTACTTTATCAAGATTCCCTAGTTCATTTAACTTTTAGAGTAATCACAGAAGTATTATTTATTAAAGATTTTGTAGTCACCCACTAGAGATAGTATTTTTCCTTTTATATTCCTTTTTCTACTTAACTTTTGAAACCTAGAGATGAGAGAGAACAATAGTAACAGTCTAGTGCAAGACATAAGGACTGGAAAGATAAATATTAACATTTGAAAATAAAATGACTTTCCTATTTTTAATCATGAAATTTGCTTGCTCACTAAAGGCTTCAGCTTAGCATTTAAGGTTCTGTCATCTCACCTGCCATTATTTCTTTCTACTATAGTAGCCTAATCCACCTGCCATTATTTCTTTCTACTATAGTAGTCAGGCTGCCCAGGAATAGACATGATTTATGCTTCCTGTGTGTACTTCAGGCTTTCCAGTCCACTGAGGGACTTAGTTTCTTACTGCTTATCATCAAAGCCCTCCTGGATTTTACCCTGATACTACAACTACATTGATTTTTTTTTTTCTTAAAGTCTTATAGATAGCCTTTATGATAGGTACAGTTGTAACTTTTCTGATAGCGTTATGTATGTAAGCTTAATTTTTGCAAAGAAATTGAAAATCCTGTCAGACTAGAGGACTTATACTACCTGATAGTCTTCCATAAATGAAAAACTTAAGTATATCAGAAAGATTAAAATAGGGACTACAGGCATTGTACCAGAACATCTCCTGTATCATATGCCATCAAGGTTGAAGAAGAAAACCTGAACAGCTTCTGGTTTGGACTGTGGACAGTTTGTACTCTAAAGCTGAGATATTGCTAACAGAGTGGATTTTATATCCACATACAAGAGGAGGAGGGAACATTGACTTCAGTCATATCATAATTTGGAAAACTTCTAAAATGGATCTTTTTAGAAGTCTGTTGCTGATTTTCAACCTGTGTATGCAATGTTCCTGCTAACATTGACAGATATTTTTGTCATAACACAATATATGCAGGTGTAAAAATCCTCATACTCTAGGACAGGTTCAAAACCTATGTGACTTTGTAAGTAGAACACTAAAAAAAAAATGATCTTTCTGGATATAATTTGGACAGTTCAGGCAAGCAGCTTATAGTAGGTGGAGTTTGTTTCAGGATATTAAAAATGCTCATGAACAGTAGGCTCCTAGGAGCAGATGTCATTTATTGGTTTGTTTGTTTACTTATTTTTACTGGAGATTGAACTCAAAGCTGTTCTATTGACCTGTATCCCCAGCCCTTTTATTTTTTCTGTTGAGACAGGGTCTTGCTAAGGGGCTAAATTGCTCAGGTAAGGACTCGAATTTTCAGTCCTCCTACCTTATCCTACCAGAATGCTGGTATGGTAGGTGTGCACCACTGTGCCCAGTTTAATTTTCTTAAAGCACAGTTGAAATTATTCCTGTTGTCAAAATAAGCAGCAGAGTTGAGGGTTTTATTTTTTGCTGAAGATTATAGTTTCTGCTGCTGTTCTGATTCCTTTTGCCTAGGAACAACCACCCATGAACCAGCACAGTTTCCACATTGCACAGTGTGGGCCTTTTTGACTGTACAAAGTTGATTTGTATTGTAGAAATATGTGCTGTAGCTGAACAGGTCATATTTTAAGTTTTTAACTTTTTTCTCTTAAGTTTTAAAGATAATTTTGTTTGTGGCATTTCTTGTAGTTGAAAGTATACCCTTAAGAAACTTGCTGGTACAGTAGCACTGCCTATGTAATAACCTAACAGTTACTTGACAAAGTACTCAGCAGGATGGAAGTCTGCCCACATATCAGAACTGTGAAAACACAAAGGATTAATATGTCCAATTTCCTTTCTTTTTCTTTTTTAGAGTTTATTTTTGATGTGGCATTTTGTAGGAAGTAAGGTTAATTTTCTAAGTTTATTATGTGTATATGAGAAGGTTGACATGGAAAACCACTGACTTAAAACACTTATTTGTAAGAATAATACAGCATTTATTTTGGCCATCTTTTTTCTTTTTTTCATTTCTAAGTTCATGGGATATGAGTAAGTTCTTGAATGTTCAGTGCCAGCTCAGCAGACTCAAATATCCTTCTTTTGCTAAAAAGTGGATCAATATTCGAAAGTCATACGGAAACTTCTACAAGGTAAAATTTCTATATTTAATGGTTATGCTCTTGATAAGTTTGCTGTATTTTGCATGTACATTAAATTGTGATTTTTCTGATTTTTTTTCCACAGGAAAAGGCCATATAATTATTAATCTTATTTTCTTTGGTACTGGGAATTGAACTCAGGACCTTGTACTTGCGAGTCAGGCACTTATGCCACTGAGCTATATCCCTGGCTCAGTCTTACTTTCAAATTAAAAGGATAAGCCTTTTTTTCCTTAACCTATTAACTTTTTAAATAAATTAAAAAATATATACATATATACACACATATACCCATACATACATACATACACATATATACATATTTATATATAGATAAACATGTGTGCCAGAAATTTAGATTGTGAAGTACATGTCTTTATGTGTCTATTGCTTGTGGACCTAATGCTGATTTAATTTTATTTACATCAAAGTTAATACATATTTTTTTTGTTTTATTTTTTAAGGTAAGGTTTTACTCTGTCGCTCAGGCTGAGCTTGAACTCACTGTGTAGCCCAGGCTGGCCTTTAACTTGTAGTGACCTCCTGTTATAGCCTCCTGAGTTCTAGGATTACAGGAGTGTGCCACCATGCCTAGCCCAATACATTCATGTAATGTATATTTAAAAAGTAATGCTGCAAGGCTTATAACAAATGGGGAAATTTGTCAGCCTTCACCAGAACCAGTCCCTGCTTTTCTGAGGCAGATACTTTTCAACTTTTTCAAAAGCTTTTTCTTTACATACTGACCTTTATATTTCTAATTTGCATATTTATACTATTCTTGAATGTTTAGTTTAAAATATCTGTTGAATTCTTAGAGTGAAAAGTCAAGGTTTAGTTCTTAATTTCCAGTTCCTACATATCCTTCCCCACCCTGAACCTTGCAAATGTAGTCATGTTACCTTTATAGTCAAATCATTATTCTATGTTTCCATTATTCCATGGCCATGACTTGGAGAGCACAGTATTTGCAGTTTTTCTCTAGATTTAATACTTAACTCCTTTAGCTGTTTACTTACCGTATTACTCAAACTGACTCACTGGTCAGTACTCAAAATACAGTCTGTGGGTTTTTTCTTTAATCCTGTTCTCAACATTTGTTCTTCAGCCTTTTTCTATATCATCCTAGGACATTTCCTTTGCCTTTTTATCATGTGTTGGATTTTCTGTCATCTTCCTTCTCCCTTTACAGCTTCATTTTGGTGAAGCATATCATTAAAAAGTACTTTCATGAGAAAAAGTACTTTTCCTCAAAAACATTTTTTTGTTTTTTAACATTTTCTCAAAACAGAAATAAACATATAGAAGAGTAGAGTTTTAAAAAGTGAATAACACCCTTGTAACTTCTATCACTTAGCCTCTTTTCATTCTTCTGGAGCTTCATACTTTCATAGTAATCATTTTCTTGCTTTCCCTTACAGTTAATATTTATATGTATATCATACCATATAGTTCGATTATAATTATAATACATTACACCAGCAGTGTTATTTATTTTGCTATTTTCCTTATTCTCCTTCAGAACCATCCAGGTTGTATATACAGCTGCAGTTCATTCACTTTATTGCTCTGTAGAATTCCATTGTGTGAATATACTCATTTGTTTATCTGCTCTACTTTGGCCATTTGGGTTATTTTTAGCTTGGGGCTTTTTTGAACAGTGATGCTATAAATGTTTTTGCTTGTGATTTCTACTGCCTTTGTGTACTCCAGGGCACTTTCTCTAGGGTATAAACCTAGGAATGCAGCTGCTAGGCCATAGGTTAAATGCATCGTTCACATTATTAGATAATGGAAAAATTGTTTTTCAAAGGAATTGTATCCATTTGCACACTTGGCAGTGCATAAGTTTACACAGTTTGTGTCATTGCCAACACCTGATATTATATCAGTAAACATTTTCTTTTGCGATTAGGAAACTTTTATTGGAAGAAGGAGAAGAAGAGGGAGACTAGCTCCAGGAGTTCTAGGAGATTACTGAACGGTGTGGCCCATTGGTAGGCATTTTTAATGTAAATCTGTCGGATACAGAATGCTGTTTCACTGAGACTGTAACTTGCATTTGCCTGTTACTCACGAGGTTGAACCCCTTCTTCCATGCTTACTTGCCGTTCTGACTTGTCTCCTCCCCTCCCTTCCTTTCCTTCTCTTCCTGTTTAAGTCTAGGCCTACTTTTAAAAAATTGGTAGTCTGTTCTTTTTCTTTTTGGTTTATAGATCTTTATTTTACATGCTAGTTCTCTGATCATCTTTGATTTTTTTTTTTTCCTATCTCTTTTTACTCATTTTGTGAGGGTTTTTTTTTTTTTGGACATGCTCTCCCAATATAGTCCAGGTTGGCCTTGAACTCACTCTTTAGCTTGGGCTGTGCCATTTTCTTGCCTCAGGGTCTTGGGTGCTACGTGTGCCCCACCATGCCTGGCTCATTTTATAATTTTGTTTTAAAGTTTTCATTATGGAAACTTCCAGACATATGTAGAAATGGAAAGGCTAATGAATGCTCATAATCTGGTTTCAACAGTTACAAATTCATAGACAGTCTAGTTTGCCTCTATTACCTCTTTTATTATTTTGAATCAGAAAACAAGCATTGTCTATCTGATCTATAAATATTTAATTATCTCCAAAAGATAAGGGCTCTTTTTTGAAAACAAACATATCATTATCACATCTAAACAATTAACAAAAATTTCTTATTCTCCCCTGCTTGTCATAAATGTATTTTATTTTCTTTTCCTTTTTATATGTTGAACTAGTGTCATTATAAGAGTCGCACATTTGTAGTGTTGATATATCTGTTTGCTTTTGTCCTTAGTTTTTTTAATCTACAAATTCCATTTTCATCTCTTTTTTTCCCCTGTAACAATTGGTTTTCTTTTTTTTTTGGTTTTTCTCCGGTACCGGGAACCGAACTCACGACCTTGCGCTTGCCAGGCAGGCGCTTTGCCGCTGAGCTAAATCCCCAGTCTCCTCTTTTTTTTTTTTAGTTACTTGTTTTGTAGTATTTTTACTTACGTGGGTTTTGCTAGTTGTACACTGCAGTGTCATTTTAAACTATCTAAACCTGTACTAAAATTTCTTGCTTAGTCACCTTTAGATTTTGTGCTACAAGTTCCAGATGATAGTGCATTCTCATATTAGGGCATATTTTCTCAAACCTTTAATTTAGAAGAATAATTTGTGTATTTTAAGGCTTCTTAATTATATCTAAAATAATTTTCAGATCTGCATATAAATATCTACAGTGCATCCTCAGACATGGTGGTGCATGCCTTTATTCCCAGTACTCTGAGAGGTTTAGGTGGGAGAATCTCAGTTTGAGCCTAATTTGGGCAAGTTAGTGACTTCACGAGACCCTGTCTCAAAAAATAAATAAGGCTGGGGATTGTAGCTCAATGTAAAGACCTTGGGTTTAGTTCTTGAGTGTAAGAACAAAAACAAAACTATAGCTCACAGTACATTTATTTAATTATAAAGTTATAGATATAATGCAGTAAATTCCCAGGACACTATTAATAGAGGAAATTTTGGTCAGTATTAACCTACTCTTGTGTGTGCGGTTTTCCACTCTTTCTGTGGTAACCATAATGTCAGTTACTGTTGTGTAGAAGAAGCTTGCATTTTTCTTTATAAAAAACTTCCTTCTTTTGTTTGCCTTATCCATGAAAACCTAAAAGTTCTGTCACAAATTTCTACTATATATGATGCTAACTAACAAGATGGTCAGTAATACAGTCTGCATAAGACTTTAAATGTTCTTGCCCTGTTGTTTTTTTTTTTTTTAAGTGAAAAACTAGTTTTCTCTCAGCCTTTCTGGGGATAGAGGACAGAAATGGGTAATTAAACTTGAGATTGATCTCTTTCCTTTTCATAAATTTAAAGGAAGTTATAAGGCAAACAAAATACATTTCTGGAAGTAACTCACTTGAAATGAGATTTCATTTTTTCTGAAAGTGGCTAAAGCAAAGTGAGTAAAAATACATCCTAATAATTTACGCAAGATTTTGGAGAAAACTCCAACTACTTTTTTGTATAGCATGTGAAACAAATGTGATTAGTAACATTTAAAAAATTATATAGACGTATTTATTTCTTTTATAGACTTATAATTAAAATGCTACTTTTGAAGTAAAAGTATATGATCAAACATATTTCTTTAACTGAAGTATTTGCTTGTATTTGTTTTTTTTCTTTCAACACAAACTTCCTGTTCTAGATTGAATTTAAGGTAATCTAACGTGAATTTCATTTTTCACAGAAATTAAACACTTCCTGCCCTTACTCTGCATGTTAGCTAACAAAAAAAGACTTTGCTTATATGTGCAGAAAGTTGCGAAATGCTGTGAAAAGTTCACTGCTTTCCTTAAGTGTCAGGATACCCTTGTAAAAGTCTATAGATTTCTGGAGGCAGTGCATGAAGTTTCATATCCAAAGCTCTTTTCTCAGAGGCAGATTTGTAGGCTAAGCAGAAGATTCAGAGAAAAGATCTGTCACCATGTCATACTCTGGTTTTGAAAGGGAAGAAAAATAATTTTCTCCTGTAGTGTTTTCAGATTGTTTTGAGTAAGGCTTCTTTTTCCTATGAAGCCCAAGCAAAAACGTGAGCATTTTGGTTTTTTTGGTACTGGGAATCAAACTCACACCTTGTGCTTTCCAGGCAGGCACTGTGCCATTGAACTATATTCTCCAACCCTAATGTGAGCATTTTAAAGTTTCCTGTTGCTGCATATATTATTTCCAAAGATTTTGTTTTCTTTGAAATACAAGAATTTCATTGTATTTTTAAGAAATTTTTGTTTAAAAAATGCTTAAACATTGAAAAAATGTTTGCAGTACATAATGATTACATTCACTGTAGGGGATTGGTACATGTGCATAACACATTGCAGTTCCTTTGTTTTTCCCCTCCGAAATTCAAGAATCTTATCACGTGAAGTCAGACCTTTTTCTTCAGGGTCTTTTTGGGACTTGTTCATCTGGTTTGTGATGAAAATGTCTGCTGAGTAGGCTGGGTCTTGAAGCTCTTCCTCATAGCACTCTGCAAATTCTAGCCTCCTCTTTTCCTGATGTTCACTTTTCATCTCAGTCCCCTTATTGAAAACTGTCAATATCTGTTTTCTGACCTCTGTTTTTCCACTTGAAATCATATTCTTACATGCCTTTGAGTCCATGGAAAAAATAATTTTAGGACTACCAATAGAGAAGTTTTCTGTTTGCATGTGTTCTGTTTTGTTCTTTTTTCTTTTTCATTCATTTATTTCTTTGAGGATGAAATGTTTCTTATCAAGTAGATCTGTAAACACATTCTGTATGTGGTGTGCTAGCTAGATATCTTCTGGCATCAGTATTGCGTATTTGGCCTGGATAGTACACAGGATGTGGTCTTGACAGTGTAGACTTCAGTCCTGTAAAGTATCACTATTCTCTGGAAGTATATGCAGATCTCTTTTGAAGATCTGAGTAATTTCTCATAACACGTGCTGGAAAAGGAATGTGCAAATCACAAGTTTAGTGAGCTTCTGATAATGTCTACTTTCACAGCATGCCACAGTATCAGGCCTGTAATGATGAACTTTCTTCACCTCTCTGGTAGAGGGTATACTTTTGTGAATGGTTTTTATAGCCCATTGCTTCCAAGGTGTTTTGTCACTGGTTGGTTTGTGGGAAGCCCACTTTATACAAGCCATGGTATAGAGACTCACTTATTCATCCCCCCTCTTCTTTGGGTGGAGCTTAGTCAGTTTTAATCAGGTTAGTTTGTTGTTGTTACTAAGTTGTAGGAGTTCTTTAATATAGGTGTTACTTCCTTATTAGATTTGTTACTTGCAAATATTTTCTTCCATAGGTTGCCATTTTACCCTATTGATAATGTCTTTTGATGGATAAAAGTTTTAAATTTTTGATGAACTTTGATTAACTTTTTCGTTTCCTATGTTATATCCAAGAAATCATTGTCAAATCCAATGTCATGAAGGTTTTCCTTGTTTTTTTCTAAGATTTTAGACCTTAAATTTAGCTGTGATCCCTTTTGAGTTAATTTTTGTTTGGTATAGGGTAATGTTCAATTCATTCTTTTTCATGCAGATCACTATTTTTCCCAACATTGTGTATTGACAAGACTGCTTTCTGGAGTGGTCTTGGCACTCTCGCTGAAAACCATATATATGAGGGTTTAATTTTGGATCCTTTTCTGTCCTGTTAGCCTGTATGTCTATCTTTATGCCAGTACCATACCATTTTGATCACCATAGTTCTATAATGTTATGAACTTAGGATGTGTGAGACCTCCAACCTTCTGTTCTATCAAAATTGGTTTAGCTATTTGGGGTCCCTTGTAAGCAAATGAAATATTCAAATGGAATTTTCTGTTTCTGCAAAAAATGTTTGGGATTTCTGCAGTAAATCTAAATCACTGGATAGTATTTATATCCAAGTCTTGAGATCCATGAGCATTGGGTGTTTTCCCATTCATTGATGGCTTTTTAAATTTTTCAGCACCATTTCCTTGTTTTCAGTATACAAGTCTCTAGTCTTGTTAGTTAAGTTTATTCTTAAATACTTTCTTCTTTTTGTTATTTAAAATAGAATTTGAAAAGAATTTGCACTTTGCATTGTTCACTGTTAGTGTTTAGTAATACAGTTGACTTTTGTGTGTTGATTTTCCAACTTTGCTTTATTTATTTATTTATTAGTTCAACCTTTTTTTTTTTTTTGAAACTGGGGATTGAATCCAGGGCCTTTTCACTGACCTACATCTTGAGCCTTGAATTTTTTATTTTGAGACAGAGTCTTGCTAAGTTGTCCAAGTTGGGCTCAAACTTGCAGTGCTTCTGCTTTAATCTCCCAGATTGCTAGCATTATAGGCATGAACCATCATGTCTGGCTCTCACGAGAGTGTGTGTGTGTGTGTGTGTGTGTGTGTGTATGTGTGTATGTGTGTGATCTTCAGGATTTTTTGTGTAAGAGAACATGTCACCTGTGAATAGAGGTAATTTTACTTTGCTCTTTTTGTGTGCTTTTTTCTTGCCTACTTACTCTGGGTAGAACTTGCAATATTGTGCTGAATAGAGGAGATGAACATGGATA